CCTCCCTCCCTCTCCCTCCCTCCCTCTCCCTCTCCCTCTCTCCATGAGCCTTTTTGCCCAGGACCTCAAGCCATGTGGTCCTGTCCACCATTAAACCATATTTCCAATCAGCCACCATGTTTCCAGTGTCTTTTTCCCCACTTGGAACTGAACCCAGAAGGACATTTCTTCCAACATTACCATGTGGGATCTTCATTTCCTTTTTCAGAGTTTATCAAGTTGCCATGACAATAGTTATGTTGAGAAGGATATGATTAACCATCCCTCTTCAGATACAGCCAGATTCTTTTAAGTTTTCAAAAAGGCATCAGGAGACACAAGTCCAGATTTTCCCCTCCCACAGCTGTGTATGCCCTGGCCCTAGGGAGGTTCATGGCTGTAAAACATAAAAAGCAACTGAACGAATGCTTGCAAACAATTAAGTCTAACAAGGGTCTAATTGGGCTGGATGTTAAACTACAGCACTTCCAATTGTTAAGTCAGCTATTTATTTTAAACCCAGTGTCTGTTTGGCAAGATAATCAACAAGTACATCTGGATGTTCTAATTCACTCCTGCAACTAAACAAAGCATTGTTTTTAGGCAGTGATACTTCAAAATCAGTACTAATTAATTTTCTGTGTATGCGATGGCAGCATCACAACCTTGTTGAAAACGCTTAAATACACATCCAAGTTTAGAAGACCATTTTAATCCACGTTGCCATTCATTGATCGCTCACCTACTTCAGCCAGAACACTCCTTCAAATCACATGATGCCTTTGGTTACTTGAAGGCACCATTATTTTATATTGTTTCCAAGACTTCATGCCAAGCTTACTTTTGAAAACATCACGTAAGCATATTTTAGTATTAAACATAATACACAATTCTTTTTGGAATGACGATATATACCTACCATGCAATGACAGCTGTTTTTGTATACAATAATTCATGAATGATGATAGCGGCACGTGGACTATATTCTATCTTTAGTTATATACTGATATATGATTTAGCAGGAATAGGAGGGATGAAGTGGCTCAGTGGCTAAGACACTGAGCTTGTCAATCAGAAGGTCGGCAGTTCAGCGGTTCGAATCCCTAGTGCCGTGTAACGGAGTGAGCTCCCGTTACTTGTCCCAGCTTCTCCAACCTAGCAGTTTAAAAGCATGTAAAAATGCAAGTAGAAAAATAGGGAATGCCTTTGGTGGGAAGGTAACAGCGTTCCGTGCACCTTTG